GTAAATCCTCCTCATCAAATTATATAAGCATGCAAAGTGTCTGGTACTATAGTTTTTGCTTATAAATATTAGTTTACCAAGAATTGTCCTATCAACCTGTATAAATCTTGTCTATTTTAGTTCTCCAAACCTCTAATGAGCCAAAGTGAGAATTTTATTTTATGTTTTGTGAAGAAAGATAATATGGTCAAGAACCTAGGCCTACCTCTCTTGTCTCTATCATGGGTATTATGTATAGGAAAGATAATCAGAAGAATGAGTATCTCTGGACTTATTTTTAAAAAGAATATCACAAACAGAATTATATGAACTATGGCATATACTTTAACAGATTTTGTCTTGCTATAAAATGTGAACATGTGATTTAGAAATTTCAATCTATTAATATGTACATGGAACTCAAGTGATCTATAGAGGTGCTTCATAGCTTCCACAAAAGGCAGGATACACACGTACACACAACATACACAGGCGCACACACATGCACACACACACTACCTGAGAAACCTCATCATTTTTTTGTGTTTTATGTATTGGGATTCTATGGAGATTTTGTTGAATAAAAAGTTCCACTGGGGCCAGGCGCGGTGGCTCAAGCCTGTAATCCTAGCACTCTGGGAGGCCGAGGGGGGGTGGATTGCTCGAGGTCAGGAGTTCGAAACCAGCCTGAGCAAGAGCAAGACCCCGTCTCTACTATAAATGGAAAGAAATTAATTGGCCAACTAATATATATATATATATAAAAAAAATATTAGCCGGGCGATGGTAGCCATTGGGCCCTGTGAGCTCCCAGCCTAGCTCGAGAGGCTGAGGCAGAAGGATTGCTTGAGCCAGGCGTTTGAGGTTGCTGTGAGCTAGGCTGACGCCACGGCACTCACTCTAGCCTGGGCAACAAGCGAGACTCTGTCTCAAAAAAAAAAAAAAAAAAAAAAAAAGTTCCACTGGGAAGAAAAATAAAAGTTTGGAATACACTACAATAAAATTCAAATCTTTTTTATTTGAATCTTTACTCATATATTGCACTTTTTTTCTACAATGAATATTATGGAATTATTTGCAGTGAATTCTTGAGTAATTTCAAGAGATAGCATGGTTTTCCAATAATTCTGCAGACTAAAAGTTGTAAACTAGAAGCTTTCTCTACAACATACATTGTACAGTAGTACTCCCCCACATTCAGGGTTTTGCTTTCTGGGGTTTCAGTTACCTGAAGTACAGTAGAAATATTTGAGAGAGAAGCAGACAACATTTTACAAAACTTTATTATAGCATATGTTAATAATTATTCTATTCTGAATACCATGTTTACCCGAAAAAAGACAGGGTCTATATGTATTTTTCCTCAAAAGACACCCTAGGGCTTATTTTCAGGGGATGGTTTTTTTTTTTTAAGTACCTACAACAATCTACATTATTCACAATATAGTTAAGTCCGTCTTCCTCTGCGAACATCATCATAAGGTCTCACAACCCTGATTCCATCCCTGAATTCTTGCAACTCTATTTCCTTTAGAACCATCAGCCCCAATCTCTCATGTCGAGCAATAGAGCTCTCATGGGGTGGATGGGAAGGGCTGCTTGTCTCCTTTACTGCTCAGCAATGAAATGCATGGGTTGTGCAGATATGCTGAGCAGCCACGCCCATCACTAGGTCTTACTTTCTGTGTAGGGCTTATATTGTGCAAATGCTTAGAAATACTGCTAGGGCTTATTTTATGGGTAGGTCTTATTGTTGGAGAAACACGGTATTAGTTATTGTTGTTAATCTTGTTACAGTGCCTAATTTATAAATTACACGTTTTCAGGTATATATGTATAGGAAAAACACAAAGTATAGAGGGTTAGTACTATCTAGAGTTTCAGGTATTTACTGGGGCTCTTGTAACATATCCCCCAGGCATAAGGGGCCTACTGTATGTACTTCTCTCTTGCAATGCTCTGAGATAGGGCGAATATTATTAAATGCGAGCAACTGGCCAGCGGCTGTGGACAATTTCACTATATTCAAAATGACCTTAAGTCTATGAAAGATACTTTCTTAACTATAGATATGCTAAAGAAGGATTTACTATTCATTAATGGTACCATACTTATTACTCCTACTTATAAAGTGAAAGATTCATAGATATTAATTTTTTACTTTGATTATAATGAAATATTTTATTACTTATATCAGAAACAAACAATAATGCAAATTTCTATTTCATTCATTCAATATGAATAAGAAACTATCCAGCACAATGAATACATCATTATATCACCTTTTAAATCCAAAAAGTTTTATTTAACCAATACACCATATTGAATAAAATCAGCATGTGATAAAATCAGTTGCTTGCTTAATAATGGAAATAACAATCTCTTTTTGAACAATACATCCAAGAGTATGTCATAGAGTTTGATGCAAACTTCAGGCAGGTCAATGTCCTGCGGCTTATGCTCTCTCATAAAACTCTGGTGGAAGTAACACCTTTCATGACACAATCCTAGACAGCCAAAAAAAAAAAATCTTGGTCAATCACTGGGACTAAACGATTGGTTTATTTGTTGTTATCTCTCAGTGTTGGGGAAGGAAACGATATTAATTCAAAAGACATTTGTTCTGAGCTCCTATATATAGATCTCATATTGTAATAAATTGGAGAGATACAAAGACCAGGAAGATACAAGTCTTCCCCTCAAAGAAGCTTGCAAAGTACAGGACGAAAGAGAAACAGAGGTATATACTATGGTGTGGAGGAGGCACCGCTGGAGACAGCCTCAGGGTGCCTAAGAGGGAGTAGGAATACTTCCTGGGAGACAGCATACCTGGGCTGAGCTCGAAAGCATGAAGGACAATTGCCAGAATGGAACCATAATCCCAATAAAATCACCTTTTTGTTCTGCATAATCAAGGTAAGTATCTGTTTCCTTATGTGGCACAAAGATCATCAAAAGACTTAGCAGTAGTATCTGGAACTGAGTAGCATAAGCATAGCCACACCACCAGTTTATCACCCTCTCGTTTTCTCTTTATGGTAGTTGATTTACCGTCCCATTTCTGCACATGTACCAAAACACCCCCATCTAAGGTTATGGTGCTCTGCAGGCATAATAAAAAGTGATTACTATTTGCATATGATGGCAGAAAATAAAATAAAAAATACAATGCCTTTGTTCAAAGGAATATTTTGAGGTCATTAATAATTTTAAATGTCAAGAATAAACTGCTACAAGAAAAAAATGAATGTCAAAAACAACAGCATAACAACTTACATATACATTATGTCCAGAATGTTTTATATAAATTGCTTTTGAAAAAATACTGTGAAGCAACATAAATAATAAATTTACATTGAGATGGTAGTCGTGATTTTTCTTCCTTTTTTCTTCTAGTCTTTTAAAAACATTCTCTCACATTGTAATATTACCCTAATTAAATTCAAACACTTTATGTATTATATGATACATAATTATGTTAATTCTAACAATAAAAGTCATATTAAGAACAACTTAATGAAAAGGTGGACATTCACCAACTATATGTATTGAAGGCAACATGGTTTAGATGTGGGAGTTCAGGGCTCTTTGGTCTATAATAGAATAGTTTTCTTTTTATAGTACAATATCTTCTTGCAGGCAGTGACAATTTAGAAACTAGGCATTTACTCTGTGCCAATTCCTTATTTCTCACCTTGACTTTCCTATCATCTGCGGTGACTTCGTCAAATTCCTGGCCGAGTTTGAAGGAAATCTCAGTATTTTTGAAGGTACTTTCTGATTTAATGGTGATCACATCCCCACTCACACTGACAATCATGTTGGGTTTGGCCATCCCAGCCACTTTCCTGGTGGCAAAGCCCACTCCTACAGTTAGGAAAAGAAAAAGTGTCAGGTTTACATTTTTTCTCGCATCTTTATCTAAGTCAGCAAACCATGGTGTGTGCATGCACACGGGTTCACATACGTGTGTAAAAGAGGAGAAAGATACCAGTGAGTTTCTTAAAGGTTTCATTTAAATAGCTCCTACAGGTAAGTAAATGCAGGCTAATACAGGAAAACTCTGAGACCCAATAGGTGTAGGTCTATTCTTGTTTATTTTGGTTTGGGTTTTTTATTTTTCTTAAGAGACAGGGTCTCGCTCTGTCGCCCAGGCTGGAGTGCAGTAGCATGATCATAGCTCACTGCAGCCGTGAACTCCCGGGCCCCAGCCATCCTCCTGAATGTATTAATAGCTCCATGCTTTACACTTCCCCTTCTCTCATCCGGATACAACTCCTCAGGAGACCCATTGTTAATTTTCATCAAGAATATGTATAAAGGTTAAGTCGTTTTGGAATATATATTTAAAAAACTGTCAGCCACTGTCATTTTCTCTATTAATGAAATACTTGTGGCAACTTGACCATTCCTTCTTAAATATTCAAGATTATGTTTAAAAATCCACAAAGACAGAAATTTGAAGACTTTGAGTGCCCAATATAGAGTTATTCAGTTAAAAGATAATCTATCTTGAAAATATAAAAATCATATTTCCTGGCATTTGCTGCCAAGGCTAGTTCTCTCAGCTTGTTTTCTAAATTACTCCACAATGAAATGAGGGTTTTTAATTAATTTCTCCAAAAATCAAAGTGTTTTCTATGTTTATATAATTTTAGAATGGTGATACCATTCCTAATAATTTATAAGAAATATTAAAAAGGGACGAAGCACTGGTTGTGAATACTTCAAAATTTAAGAAATCACTATTTCTTAGTTTAGAAGCTAATACTTTGATTCCCAATCAGCTAAGTTGTGAATTCCTCTTATTTAAAAAGGGGAATATATTTTTCTTGTGTAAGATATGGGATGAACAATTTATAACCTCATATAGTGGTAACTTGCTACCACTGCACATGTTATACAGAATTTATGACAGTCATAGATGTGTTGTAGTTTTTTAACACACGCATATAAATTTAAGGTATTTCTTTGATTAAAGGTGAACAAAGGTTAGAAATACAGGGGAAATATTGTGCAAAATAAGTAATTCTGGGGCTCTGATTTAGCTCCCTGTCTCAAAAGTGGCCACAAGTGGGAAGATAATATGTTGCTTCATCAAGTCCTGGCTCTGTTACAAAATACAACATTAAATATGTAGAGTGAGTCAGCATAGTGAATGTATGCAACATCAAGTGTAATTCTAGAATGCTGACCTTAGGAAAAATCATACTCTCCACTTGCTTGATTCTGTCTTTATTTGACTAATGAAGGCAATACCTGTCCTTTCATCCTCAATTAGAGTAGCTGATTTCATTCAGGAGGTATCTTATCATCTATAATTATCATTAGTCCTTTATAATATAAAAGTACAGTGTTATTAGAAAATAAATATTAAAAGTGAAAAATATGTCTAAAAGTCAATAGCCAAATAGCCCCAAATCCCGGCATTTCTATAACAGTGCATTTAATTAGTTTATTGAATCACAACTAGTTGGTAGCCTAGAAAGTTAGGTCTCTCTCATGGCTAAAGTCCCTAATTTCCCCCCTCAATCTATAAACAAGAAAAATAGTAGTTACAGACAAGCAAAAACTATACTGTATAATTTAGGGGAGGGTTAAGTCTTTTGAGATTTAGGGATTAAATCCTAGACTCTAATAAAGATATTGTGTAAAATTCCTCCCAAATTTGCTAACCCTGGATCCAACTGTGTCATGTACAGGGGTCAGGGGCTGGGGGAGGACTCTCTGATTTATGTCCATTGCTTTACTTCCATAATCATCTGGGACACATTCACACAACAACATGCTGGCAACATCAACAGAGTCTAAAAAATTAAAAGCCTCCATTATCGAAGAGGAGGTATGTTACATATGTACTCAATAATTCTATAACATCCCATGTCATTTCTAGTCAAAGAAGCATTTAAGCCCTTTGAGAAACATATTTTCTGAAATTAAGATTTTTGCCTGTCATAAAATAACTGCACATGTTAACCGATTGACACTGAGACAAGAAAATAATTGGCTAACATACATTTACTGCAAAGTTAATGCATTCGGATGGAAAATATAGTGCCTTCATTTCCAAATGGAAATTATTGCACTCTAGGAAATAAACACAGTTTTCTTTCCAAGTTATTACTTATTTTATATGCAAAAGAAGATGTAAGAAAAACAGGCAAAAAGCCAAGTAAACCAAAGACACTCAAGTTTTCAATTAAATGAAAATCTTGTCATTTCTATAGACTATAAAAATTCCATTTAGATCCTTTCTTATACTGGTTCACCTTTAGGAATCATTAGTTGTAGCTTTGGTTCAGAATGTTTCTTGAAACTAATGGTTCGCATTTGCTACTTGCACACCCTCTATAGAGAAAGCAGCATTTTTGCGTCTGACCAGAGCTGCTAGAGAGAAAACACATCGATAAAACACTGTCCCCCCAGAGAAAATGTTACAAATCCAGTAATTCCACAATGCATTTCCTTACCTACTTCTTTCATGTAATCATCAAAGTTTTCACTGGAGACAAGTTTCCAGGTACCTACAAAAGCGTCACACATTTTGTGAGTTTTCTAGGATTATTCTTCAAGGTGAGAAAGAAGCAGCAGCTTTTAGGTAGGTGCTGTAACCCTCTTGAGTCCAGATAACGTCCTTTTAAAGATGCTCAGAACATGTGATCTTAGGAATAACCAATTGGGAATGATATCCGATCATTTCCTTCATTACCAGCCTCTGCATTTTTCCCTCTGAGTCATGTTTTTAATAGAAATTTCTCAACTTTGGTTCTCCCTGGCGAGTGGTCATTGGACTTAGAGTACAAATTATTTTTAAGCACTAACAGGATATTTTAAACGTTCCTGTTTTGACCATTTAATGCTGAGTGCATTGAATTCCACTCTATTATTTCCATACTTATTTATCCCAATACAGAGAGGGGAAATTACCTTGGGATGAACTTTGGCTCCCTTTTCTTGGGTTTTTATTAAAATTGCAATTATATGGTTCTTTTTTAATTGAGCTACATAAGAACCACCTTGTAGATTCCTAAGTAATTGCAAAGTCTCTTGGGATGGTACTGTCTCAGGAATTATCTGGCAATTAAAATAAAATAAATAATGACATTTTAAAGTACTCCAGATTTCTAATTTCAAATGTTTTATATGACTAAAAAAGTATATTCGATTCATCCATCAGGAATCTGGACTATAGATTTAATTAGAATTATAATTTAATTTCACTATTTCCACCCCCCAAATGGCAGCATAGTGTTTATTTCTATAGACCTCTTAAAAAATAGGTCCCATTCCAAAATAGTCTCCCCACACTGATAAAATTCATTCAGTTCCTTAGCTATATTATAAGCTCTGAATGTACCAGATTTAAATGGTGCTGCTTTACTTGAATGATCAGAAATGGTGTGGTCACAATCTATCAAAGTCAGTTTCCTTCTTTTACATAGGAACTAATCTATGAGATTTGTTTTCTAAAGTAATCATGGTTTTCAATCCTTCCACCCCATACCAGAATGATAGAAAATGTTCACATGTGCAACAAATTCCCATGAACATATCCAGATTTAGGAAAGAAGAAATTAAAATATTGTAGTGTGATGAATCGCCACACTGAGTATCCCACTGAGCATATCCCCATATCTGCTGAGCACAAGATTGATTCACAAGCCCACTATGGGCTGTTGCTTACATACACTACAATCCAGGATGGGCTTGCATTAGATTGAATAAGATCGTTCAGATGGAAAGTAAATAAAAATGACTAAATTTAATAGAGGGATAATTTTGATAATGTTTTAAATTAATGGTTTGATTTTTAAAATATATGTTGATGCTTTACTTATAGTAACAAATTGCTTCAGATTTGCAAATGATTATAACATTTGAATATATGTTATCTGTGTTGTAACACCGTGATTTAAACATGTTTTACAGATGTACTATCCAATAGTATACTTTCTAGACATATCTGGCTCTTAAAACACTTGAAATATGGCTAGTGTGACTGTGAAAGTGAATTTTAAATTTTACTTGATTTTATTTAAAACGTAAGAAATCATCCTCAATTCAGTTACTGGAAAATTTTTAAATATGTTTGGAACAACTTGGATATGTCAATCTACTTTTTCAACAGTAAATTTTATGAAATCCAAATGGTAGTCAACTATTTCATAAGAAAATTTATTAGAGTCTGAATTGAGATGAACTGTCAGTATAAAATACACATCATATTTTGAAGGCAATATAAAGATGTATAATATATTGTTAAAATTTTTACATTGATCATATGTTGAATTGACATTTGAAATATGTTGGGATAAATAAAATATATTACTAAAGTTAATTTATCTTCTTTCCTTTTTTACATTCTTAACATGGCTACTAGAAAATTTTAGATGACATTAGTGGCTCACATTATATTTCTGTTGAGCAGTGCTGTTTTAGAGTTGCACAGTGATGCCAAGTTTCGTTTGTTTATTTAATATATGAGTCAGGCACTGGGCAAACCACTGGGGATTCAACAGTGAGCAAGCTGCCCCCGGCACTTGTTTGCTCTCATGGAGCTTACATTCCAGTACTGGAGAGGAGAACATAGAAGAAGACAATAAATAAACCACCAGCACTCCTGTAAAAAAAAATCTTCAAGAATATTTCTGTGGGCTGGTGGCATTACCTTCCTATGTCAGCATATTTAGTGCCTGATCGTTGTTGGAGAAATGGCATAGTCGAGATCTTCTAGAAACAACCACTGGCTCTTTTAATGATCTCACATAAACAGGAATGGTAGTAACCCCTAATAAAGGGCCTTGGTAACTTAAATATTAATAGCAATGGAAGAATTAAGATATGAGAGAGTAGCTGACTCCACATGAAGAAATTTCATGTTATCATTTGTGGAGAGTAACAAAATAGGCTTGGCAGAGTTTCTTATCTCAAGGGATGTTGTCCTTAAAAACAGCTCAATTTATGTTCCAGACACATGGACCATCCTATGGAATACTGATATCCTTACTATGCATAAGTCCTCTAAGGTATGTCTTGTGTAAGGTAGAAAACTCTTTCTAGACAATAAGCTGTCCAGAAATTTAATGCAGGGGCCCATACCTCATCCTCTGAAATATAAACAAGAACACAAGCAACTCCTCAGTTCCCCCAGAAATTATCTTCCTCTCAGTGCCTAACGCTTAATCTTGCCGACATGGATAAAATGGAATGTCATCTCGACTAATCATTATCGTCTTTCTCCACAATGTTGATGGAGTGCCATGTGAATGAGGTAGCACAAAATAAAGAGACTCACACTAAAAAGAAAACTCAAGATTCCATGGCCTTGGGCTCAATGCTCTTTGAAGGATATCTTCCCTACACATTAATGAAGAGAATTTGAGTTTAACCAAAAGTTTAGTGGTCATCCTTTCTTGAAAACTAGTGGAAATTGTACTATTCATATTTTTAAACACAGTTTCATTGTATAAAGTTCACACTGGCAAATAATTTTCAAAAGTCTTTTTTCCAAGCCTGCTATGTCCAAGGCACTGTACTGTGTGGGGTATAGGAATATAATAACAAGTAAAACGTGATTTCTGTCTCTCTTTTATGATCCAATTTCCCTTTCTAGTTACCCACCTGGGCCAAAGTAAAATATAAAACCTTTTTAAAGTGTTTCGTTTTGATTGTTATCTTGATATGGGTACTTATTTTGTATAAGAGGCACTTGCTGCTCTTCTAAATTTTTTTTACACTTTTATTGTCTTTTATTATCATATCACATACACAAGATACATTCATCCCCTCCCCAATCTCCCCTCATTCCTGACTTTCCTTCTCTACCCTGAACTTCATCCCATCCATGACTAAAGTTCCTAGCATCTTTCTCATTCACCAAACATTTGGATTAATGACTTAATTAACAAAAGACATGAGATATGAGTTTAGGCTACATAATCATGCTTAATGCTTGTGTATGTGTTTAAAACCAAGAAAGCCATGGGTTCCTATCTGAGTTTTAGAACGATGAATACAGTGGCCCTAGGAAGAGTGGATTATAAAGGAAACAGGGAGAAGATGCCAATCTCCTTACAAGGCAAGTGAAGAGATGATGAGGGGCTGAGCAAGGGGAATGGCAGTGAGACAACGGACAGCAGTGGAAGAATCTGGAAAAGGGTACAGAAAGGGTACAGGAGCTACTTCCTTTCTGGAGGAGCCTGGTACCCAGAAACAAAGTACATGGGAGATAATCTGCCTTTGATTATGGGAAGAATTCCCACAGAGGTGACTGTGTTTTTACTCGCAAATACTCAAACCCGGCATTAAAATGCACACGCCAGGTCAGAAGGTTTCCTCAGAGCCGTGGGAAGGGGTCTCAGTGGCCAGAGCTTCGCTTTGCTTTGGGGATGTGGAGGTTGGGGACACGGCCCCGGACCCTCAGTGCTGACAGGGCACAGGAGCTCTCTGGTTCGGGCCCTCTGCCTTGCACTTTGCTCTCCTATGGACAGCGTCCATGGAATGTGTCCCTCTGACCTTCGCCTGTGTTTGTTTCTTTCGGAGGAAATTAGGGTATTTTTTCTGGCCATTTTTAAGCTGAAGAGGAAACGTACCCACTCTCTGGATAATGAGGAGCAGAGACAAAGGCCTGATGAGAGGGAGTGCTTCCACGGCATGTATGCAGTAGGTTAAGGAGGGTTCATGCCAAGGCTCCACTTTTACTGGAGGCAAAGTTCCTTTCTTAAAGCAATACTATTACCAATGTTTTGGGGCTTATTAGAGTTTTAAGACAAAACTTAGGAAATTTAGGCCTATTACATTTGGTTTTCCTCTCCCCACAGATCAGTGGGAATGTTTAATATGAGAATTGCTTTATATTTCCCATCCTAGGTTAAAGAGACAAAGTAAAGGCAATCCCATGTAAGTCTGCTTGTCATTCATTGCACATATGTTCACAGTGAGCCATCATTGACTCTTGACTTTTTGACTTCAAATGGTGGCAGTTCTGGAAAGCATGACTAAGCAAGCCACGGGCTGTGCATCAGTTAAAGGGTAGTAGCTAATTATAGACTTGTGCTGTGCCTCCAAGCTTGTTGCCTAACTCCTTCACTGGCTCCCTTACTCATTAAAGGACTCCTCTTCTGTAGTGTAGTGGGTGCAAGTAGGAACCAACAGAAAAGCTGTCAAAGCACTTTCTAAGTGTAAAGAGTGTCCTGCTTTGTCTTTGTATAATAATACAACAGGCATCAGCATGGACTGGCTATAGCCAAAATGAAAAACCCAATAGGAAAAGCAGAAAGGAATGTACAAAAACACAGGTGTGGTATCATGTTACCAAGAAAATATCCAGGGGGATAGATAAACAGAAACACACACATATGCACACACACACATCAAGTTTGTTTTCTTCTTTTCCCAGATTCTTTCCTCTTCTAATTCCCAGGTTTGAGCTCTTTGAGGATGGGGCTGTGTTTTATTCATCCTTGTGGACCCCAGGCTTAGCATTACATATGACACATGGTACTGCATTGCTGAATTAGGAGAAACTCAATCAGGTTAATTTAGATGACATTAAGGTATAAATAGCAGATGGAAGTATTTATATTTTAAAAGAAGATCCTCCCAACATTGTTTGTAACAG